TATTAGATATTATACGTCTAATATACATTCGGTTCAATGTTGGTCAATACTGGCTTATACAGTAGGCTTGGTTTAGTGGATACTTCAATGTTCGATTGTATTTAAGGTGTATTGTTTTTGTTCATTCAAAGTTTAATGAAGATTAAAACAAAGTATTGAAAACAACAATGACATAAACATAGAGAAATAGAGCTTCCTTGCAGAAGAAGGTAAAGGCTGAGGTGGAGGAGCAGCACCAGGAGGGCTCTGTTTTCCGGTTGAAGCAGTGGTGTTTTCCTTCGAACAAGCAAGGTTACAACGGCTAGGACGAACAATTCGGTACACACCAGAGCTCGTGAGCAAATGTATGTCCTTGTTATTGTCTTGTCCGAAAGAGTAGATGTAACCAAGTGCAGGTCCTGAGCCAGCTCCTCCTGGAGCCGCGGTGCACTTCATCGGCGAATCTTCACTGCATTTAAACGGTATTTGAGTGGCCGTGAAGTTTCCACTATCTTCTGGTGATTCTATTGCTGCCCACATCGCGTTTGCGTAAAGATCTGCATACAAGTACCTGAAACAAAATGGTTTCAGGATTTAGGGTCATGTACTTAAGGGTTAGGGCTTAGTGTTTGACTTACGTTCCATAAGAGCAAGGATCAGTTCTGGCTCTGTAGAAGTAACCTCCAATGATGGAAGCAGATCCTTCATGTTTGTTAACTTCAGAGTGATTGTAACCGAGAATCGGGAATGTCAAATTAGAAAGCGCGGAAACATTCTCTCCGAAAGGCGATAACGGAGAGAAAACATAAGGTCCTTCGTAGATTCTCCAGCCATAGTTTCCACCCATTCTAATGATATCAACTTCTTCATATGTATCCTGTTACATTTTCAACACAACAATCTTTTCCTAAGAAACTCTGCATCATCACAGAGTTTGATACTTGAACCAGAAGAAAGAAAAAACAAACCTCTCCAGTATCTGCACACAAGAAGTATTCCGGTCTTTCGGAATCGAAGCTGCAACGCCATGGATTTCGCAGCCCTAAAGCCCAAATCTCAGGTCGTTGATCTTCATTTCCTTGGAAAGGATTGTTCTTTGGAATAGAGTAGTTTCCCCATAAACCAAGCTGAGAGATTTCAGATACACCTGCATAGTTTCATCACATAAAAATAAGAATAAAAACTCTGAATCCAAACTCTCGAATACAGTTTTCGAGCAATCGATTTCCAAACTTACTTGGCATAACATCAATATCAAGCCTCAAGATTTTGCCAAGCAACGACTTCTTGTTTTGTGCAAAGTTGTGAGTATCGGAAACTCCTCCTCCATCACCAGTCATGAGATACAAATATCCATCAGGCCCGAAAAGAATCTGACCCCCGTGAGACGACGAATACGGAAGTCCCATAGTGAAAATCCTCCTCACTTCAGATGCCTTACCAGTCTTTGCCTACATACACAAAGAAAAGCAACACAACAATCATTGTTAAAATCTTGATCTCCAAGAAACTCAGTTTTTTATTGAAAATCAAATCTTGAATCTTTTTGTTTCTAAACTTACCGTTGTAGGGCTAGAGGAAGTACCGTTCGCAGTATACTCAGCCACGACAGTCTGATAACGACAAGGCTGCGCGCCATCGTCTTTAGGAAGCTTAGAAGCATCACAATTTACATCAGAATTACAAGCACAACGACCAGAGCAACCAGGAGATTTGACTTTATCGCAGTTAAAAGACGCGAAAAACCGCCCGTTCTCTGCGAATTTCGGATGAAACGCCATTCCCATCATACCAAACTGCGTATCGAAACTCACTTGATCGGTTATATCAACAAATGGGGTCGATTCATCGATATCCATCGGTTCGCCTGAATCTTGATCCGGTATCGTACCTAACCAGATCTTACCAGGTTGGCTAGAGAAAAAGGCCCGGTTCGAACCATCAGGATGAGCTACCATGTTGAGGTAAGAACCGGTTCCTATCTTCTCAACACATATTCCTTTAGGTGGCTTTACATCATTGTCTTCGTTAACCGGTTTACCATTGAAGCATTTGGTTGTATTGTTGTTGGTTTCAGATGGTCCACCAAAGGCGGTACAGAATTTGGTTTTCGATTTGTAGAGATCGGTTAAAGTCGATGAATTTGAGGTTGTTGAAGGTGAAGTAGCACCACCTTGGAGACTTGGACTAAATGGAGAAGAGACAATGGAAATGTTTTGACATGAATCCCATAGCTTTGAGCATAAATCTTGAGAAGTTGAGTTGCAGAGAATTGGAATTTGAGAAGTTTCATCATCATAAAATTGTCCTGAGAATTGATCACATTTCTGAGAGGGGGAAAAAGAAAAAAAAACTCAGAGATTCAGAATCAATAGCTTCAAAACAGAACACACAATTGCAAGATTTGAAGTGAAAGATCGATCCTTTTCTTGATGGGTATTTCGATTTCGTTTGATTTATTGATGAAATCGAAATCAGGATACTTACAGAACAGAGAATGGATTTGAGAAGGGAAGAACAATTTGTGTCAGAGATGTTCATGGATTTGAAACGATTCTGCAATTGAAGATCATCTTTGGAATCACAACAAGATCTCCCTGTGTAAGAATCACAGAACTGAAGCGTCTCGTTGGTGTTGACTTGAGCCTCTGACAACAAAAACCCAAAAACGACATGAACACAAGGACACTTATACTCAAAACGACATGAACACAAGAACATTTAAACTCAAAACGACATGAACACAAGAATATTTACACTCAAAACGACATGAACAAAAGAGAACACTTGGACTCAAAACGACATGAGAACAAAAAAAAAGAAGTGATGGCTTACTTGAATTTGAGCA